CCTATTTCCAAAAAAAAAAAAAAAAAAGTGGAGTATCCCTTTAAATGTCCGAGCGAAACGAAGCAAAATGTAGATCTACATCTGGGGAGTGATATTTTTTTTCCTAGGATGGTAGAGGAAGACTCATAAATGCTTTTAACCCCAATGACGGGTAGGTTTAGGGACGGGGTTGGGGTAGGTCATATATTTATATACAGTAATGTAACAGCGTTATAAACACACTTAAACGCGATTGTTATTTGTTGATAGCATGCCAAAAAAGGCAATACGAATTGGCGTGTCATACATACGCCATTTCATGAGATCAGTCTGGTAAATGTTATTGTCTACATAAGGACTACAGCTACTACAAGAATGGGAAATTCTATACTTGATAAATCAGAAAACCATTGTAGTTCTACTTAGTAACTGTCAGCAACTGTGGTTTTGAAACCATGTTCGAGGTATGACTGCGTGTAATTCAGACTCTACAAGTAATAATAACCACAGATCTTATTTCACTCATAAATCCAAAACCAATATTCTAAAAACCCATTATACATTCCCCAAGGGAACTATGTCCAAATAAATGACCAGGTTGGCTTACAAATTGAATCTGTTACGACGGCTTTATTATTTCTAAAATACAGTTATACCTCTTGCATGGCTCCTGTTTGTTTATACTGGTTGTCTCTGTGAAATGTTAATCATAACCAAAGAATATAATCCATGATTGTCTGTGGCTTTAGTAGCTCAGGAGGATGTCACATTACTATAATAGTCCAGTTATCTGCAGCATGACCACCCATAGGGGACAGAAGCAAATGACACACAGGGTGAGCTTGATGTGGCACATTATGTACGCTCTCAAGAAGCCACATTGATAATTTGGTTTAATTAAATTTGCTCTTTTTTTACGTGAAGGAGTCACACACTTCCTCAGCAGGAAGCAATTTCTATTTGAGTGGCGTGGAGCGAGTGAGTGCAGTCAACAAAACAACAATCAAACATACCTCCCTGTTATCCGGAGAAAATTGCAATTGGCCCCTCGTTTGATAACAGAGTGCGACAAGATCAGGCAAGCCCTGTTGTGTCTGAGACCGGCCAAACATGTCTGATGACAGCTAATGCTATCAGTTTCACGTAAAAAAAAAAAATGATCGAAGCAGACAATCGGCATTCCACTCCATTACATCTTGTCGACACAACATGCGAGACAAATTGCGACAAAATCATTTTGGGACTCAGGAGTTAAACAACTTCGCATCATTTTATGCGGGTGTGTCATGCAGATATTGGTAGTTCTTCTCATGTCAAATCATACAAAGTCACTATATATTACACACCTGGCTATAATGAAAAGTTTGTACCTTGAGGCAAAAATAAATAAATAAAAATAAATCACAATGGCCTTACATTTAAAGAAAAAATCACTTTTGCTACTGTCTGGAACACAGCATGATACATCTAGATAACATTGTAATGACAATTACAGGACTTTATCAAAAAGTAACTCAATAACATATCACTTATCTCACACGTGTCTTGGGTCAATTTTGACTTCCATAGTATTTTGACTTCCCCACTATGGAAGTCAATGGCTATCGTCAATTGTTTAATTACCAACTTTCTAAGTGATTTTCGAGAACTTCAATATAGTTCTCTAAAATGCTTATTGTGATTAATAAGTGATAGTTTTCAGGACAGTTATTATTCGTTATTTAAAAATAAGCAGGGTTTTTTCGGTTTAGTTTCTATTTTCTGAAGATACACAATCGCTTTATATGATGTACAGATTTAATGTAGTCTTATATTCACATATTGATTAGCGAACATTAACAGAAGCTCAACCAAACCTCCTTCACACTCGAGAACTTGCGGAAGCTCAAACGTGCATAACACAAGAATCAACCTCATTGGTTCTCGCAAGTCAATCGAACTTGCTTGAGCTTCCGTTTACCACAACCGATCTGCGAGTTGATGAATGTTTATACGTGAATACATTCAATCTGTTCATCATATAAAGTGATCGTGTCTCTTCAGAAAAGTTGTCAAAACCACTCAATTCGGATTAGTTTTATGATCTCTTATGAACTTTTTGAAGCGTTGATGTTGCATGGAATGTCAATGGAAGCACAAAAATCTCTCCGATTTCATTAAAAACTTGATATGTGTTGGAACGACATAATGTAGAATTTTCATTTTGTTTTGTTTTTTGAATTTTCACGCTCTTTATTTTACAAAATAGCAAAGAAGTGTGCATAAGTACGTGAATTGGAAGGCACATCATGAATGTTCTACTCTTTATTTAGTGCTTGAACACTAGTCCTTCGTGTTTCTCCTTGTTGGGTAATTGAGAATGCAAAACTGTTTCATCAAACCATTTCATCAAGGACATCCTGAAACTCGAGGAATAAATTCAGCTCTTGTTAATATTCTGATACATTATCATCATCAGGAAGCTGTTTCGACTGTTGGTGGATTCCATCATTTGCTTATATCATTTGCATATACATGTACACTGTACAGTTTAGTCAAGGTAACATTAGTATTACATGACATTTGCAATCTATCTCCCATGATTATTTACAGATTTGAAAATATTAGACACTCCAAAGTCTAACTTCAGACACATTAAACACACTGTCGTCAAGTTCAACTAACAGTTTTAATGGGAGTGAATCAACAAAAGAATTTGAATGAATGTTTTCTTGACTCTTTCATATGTGAAAAGCTGGATTCTAGTGCTTCCTGTTCCCTTGACTACAGATATACTCACTGACCCACTGTACCTGCAATGTTACTGAATCAAAGCAGCACAGATTTTTGCATCCTGGTTGTTTGTTCTTTAATGATCATTAGCAGAATCTCGTTTTATTCAGTTTACACACACTGAACATCATATCTCATCTGCTGCTGTGTATCTTAGCAACAAGCGCAGAACAACAATAAAATTGTAGATCAATGATAATGTAGAGAATATCCATTAATGCATTGAGGATTATATACCAGATTACGGTATGCCCATTATGTCCCATTTGAGAGGATTTAGCGCACCCCCAGAACAGATTCCAGAAACATCCATGGATCCAATCAGACGTTTCTCGATAGCAAAAACAGCTTTGAACTTCTCAGTTCAAAACTAGTTCTGTTCCATTTAAGATTGAAACTTCACTTTCTTTCCCTCCCATCCTTTTGACATTTATGAGTAAAACTCCATGAAGCACCAGAGCTGTGCTAACCGACATATACTGAATTCAAAAGCCTTCTTACACTGGAGCTCATTTGCATTGGTTTTGAGAAACAGCTCCAAGGCCAGAACAGAGTCCAAAGTTCCATCAATAAAAAAAAAAATCTGACAATGCTTTGTTGTACCAAAGCATGAAATCTGGACTCTGCTATACAAGAATCAGTCTGGGGAAACTCAAGTGTAAAGGACAGGTGCAGACACATAGCAAAACCTGCACTGCTGCAGAGTCGAGAGTGCCAGCAGTGGAACGGAGCCTGAATCTCTGCTCTGCCAACCCGAAAAACACTATCTGCCTAATAAACATGTGAGGCAGGGCTTCTGTCCCGAGTGTCTGACCTCAATCCAACTGTTTTGATGCTCCTTAGATGTGGGAAACTAGCCTTTATCGTGAGTGATCCTACTTTAAAACCTGCTATGTTGTCTATGTTTATGTCACAATAGGCTTTATTTTGTGCTGAGAGGGTAGATTTACAGTGAACTGACATTTACACGCTTTGCTGACTTGCAGATAACCATCTGGTAAATCTATGTAATGATGAGTTATGTGTGATATGCATTTAGCCTTTATCATGCAACTCGTGCACTAACTAATGGCATTACCCACCAGGAAATAAAAAGGTTTAAGAAAGGCTCAATAAAATGAGCATGCGGAAAAAAAGATCCTATTTGTTTAAGATAAAGTTGTAGAAGACAAGAATGTTCAATGCTGTTTCAAAGACACTGTGTATAACGTTTTATTTTTACTTAGTACTTGTTACTAAGTGAAAGGTCTTCATTTGCCTTTTGATCAAATCATAAAAGCATAAATGTGACGTGATGCTCATTTGTTTTGACCGGATCTAAAATTACGTCAGTAGACTATTTCTGATGAAAAATTAACGTGTTTGTTTATTTCCTTTTGTGCACATTGTGGGTGGGGCTTAAAGCAAAACATAATGTAACTGACCAGAGATTGTAAAACAAACACTCATTAAAAAGCTAAAAAAAAAAAAAAAAAAGCAGTTCATATAACATAATATTTAGAGTTTTTGATGATTAAATCAATCTCCTTCATTGTATTAACTCAATTTTTCCATTTCAATGAACTTAAAATTTTAAGGCAACATTTAAGTTTAAGTTAAACCAACAATATTTTTGTTAAGTTAAAAAAAACAATACAGTGTGTATACTGTATATTTATAGTAGCTATATCGTTTGTTTGTTTTTTTGTTTTGAAAAAATGCTCATTTATTGAAAGTGCATGAAGTATTTAGTAGGCTACGTTTTATGGATACTTTTTAGAGATAATCCAAATAATTGTGGAAAGTAGGCTTGCTAATATCCAATAAATGTAGTGTAGAACTCACTTTGATTTGTTAACACGAATAATTCTTGTTTAAGGCAAATCACATGTAGGCTAGTGATATTGAAACATCCCATGTCTCTCATACATGCAGAACTAAGAAATCAACAGATGACTCCCTTCGATAGGCTATGCGTAGAGTCTTTGACACCTAATCACCCAGACTTACTCATTCCATGTCATTCCGTTACATTCCACTTCTCCCTCAATCGGTATGCAGGGAATTCAGTCGTATAAATAAATAGCATTGGGATGCAGTGTCCGTCTGTCCTCTCTCACGCGCGCAATGCAAAATACATGAGAGAAGTTGAGTGTATATGTAGTCAACAGTCAAAACGGGCTAATTCTTATTACAGATATTTCTCTTTCCGTGAAACTTTTCCAGTCATGTAGTGTGTTCGAGTGAGCTGATAATAAAGGAGCGCTTACCCCAGACGACCATCCGTGGATCAGCTGTTTCTCCGGTCTCGAGTTTTTATGATCAGCGCAGGTTCGCGAGCTCAGGGCAGCACTCAAACAACATGCTCTATTTACAGATGATCACAGAGGAAAGTGCCAGTGAGGCTGGAGAGCTGCAGTGCGCACTGAGGTGTGTGCCACTGACACACACACATATACCATTACCGGTCCGGTGCTGCTGTGACTCTGAGCCTGCGATCCTCCGCTACACTTCACAGATGCAGAGGGGTGGAGTGACAGATCCCAGCCGCGCAATGTGTCACGGGAGGTGTAGTTCTGCTCACACTGCAACAAAGTGGGTGTGTTCAGGTGGATGCTTTCCGTTTGTGGTGTGGATGATGTGAAAACAGTTTATGTGCTTGGGGACAAGCTGCATTTTAAACGAGGCCTTTAATAATAAAGTTCCTTATTAAAGTATTTTTTTTAAACTTTATTATGACGTTTTGCAAAGCCATATAAATTTAGACCAATTAAATATGTTTTATTGATATACAAATTGTATCAAGCTTATACATTTTTTTAACTCCTCCATACAGTGTGGGAGGGACAATGAAACATTTAGCCTACCCAGATAGCACAAGTCTGTTTGATGTTGGCTAATGTTTACATCTGGAAGACGTATTTTTAAGAGTGTTTGCTCATCTGCAGTACGTCTATTGGAAGTTTCCTGACAGATGTCAAATAGACGTTTAGAAGATGTCTTTATGGTGTAATGATTTAGAATGCATGTTAAACTGACATCTTCTAAACGTCTATTTGACATCTGACAGGGAACGTCCTATAGACGTATTGCAGATGAGCAAACACGTCTTCCAGATGTAAACATCACATCACATCAAATAGACTTGTGCTATCTGGGTAGATGAACTTAATATTGTATTATTATTATTATTATTTTCAAATTGTGTTTTTTTGTGTGTGTGTGTGTGTGTGTGTGTGTGTGTGTGTGTGTGTGTGTGTGAGTGTGTGTGTGTGTATGTATGTGTTTTATTGTGTGTTTGTGTATTTATACAGTAGATTACTGTAAATATATTTGTTATTGTGTATTTGTGTGTTCTAAGTATAAAAAAATTCTCAAATTTTACAACACACTTATGTAATGTCTGTAGTAAGTGTATCACTGATCAAAAAAGGCCTAAAGACATTATGATAAATGGAGAAGAAGTTTTTTCCATTCATCATAGTGTTTTACATTGAGCACATCAGTGTTCAATTACAGTAGTCTGTTCATATGAAGGTTTGTGTGTAATTTGAAAACAAAATACCATTTTGAGAAGAAATAACATTGTTTTGAATGTAATGTTTCATTTTGTCAGGAGAATTGTTGAAACATTTCAATAGCTACAGGATTGCTATAGGGACATTTTATCATTTATCATGTGTGTGTGTGTGTGTAAATATTAAATTATACAATACACAATACAATGACAATAGGCTATACTGCAGTGATTGACTTAGTAAAAATACCATCAGCATGGAAGAACCTTGAATGTCTCTCTAATGGAAAGACATCAAATTCAGTATCAGATCCCAGTGCTTCTTTCACAGTACCCAAATGTTTGCTATCTGACTTCCTGTGAAGCATCTAAAATTATAATTAAAAAAGCAATGACGGCAATACTAAAATAACTTTTAACATATAAAAGGTTAATCCCTCCTGGGGGTCATGCCCTCGGGGCTTTATTTTGGATTTACTGTAATGGTGCCAGGAGCATTCGCTGTCATTGTTTTAGTAAGGAAAAGAGAAACTTGTTTTTAGAAAGGGCTTGATAGGAAGTTCAGCCTTCAAGCCTGTGTCTAAATATAGTTCTAATGTGTGAGCAAACTGTGCACTTAGTTGTTCAGGAAATAAACACTATGGTCACCAGAAGCATGAGAGTGGGGCTTTACTTGTGTAAGATGCAACATTTTTGGCATCATGAGAAATAGTCAACTTGTTAGTTCCTCAAACTAGACAAAACTGAACATATGGCTGACGATAGCACGTTTATCAATAGTGTGCACATTTATTTAGATGCAGAAGTGTCACAATAATGTAGAGGCACACATATTGATATTGTTCATGATACTGCTCAGACTGTACATTTTATATTGGCTTGATACTTTATATAAGTTATGTAGAACATAGGAGTTTGATTAATATGTATAAAAATGATCTCTGTTCAAAGGGTTTTATATATCTGCATTTGTATTGCTAATTGAACTGTTAAAATTGAATGCATATATGAGAGCATATTTATATGTCTTGAGGGCTTATATATATTATGTCTGTCTACTTCCGAAATAACTGATCAGATGTTCTTCAGTGTGATATAACTCATTCACCTCTTAAACCGCCACACTCATCTGTGCCACAAATAGCTTCATGAATTTTGATGTGCTTGTTTATTACAGTAAGTATTCAAACTGACTATGAATCGATTTAAAAGGACAGGGCATATTCTCCATTTCCACACTTGTATAATTCTGTTATAACATCTCAAATTTAGGGACTCTAAAAAATGTCACAATGGAAGTATGGTCTGTAAAAAGCAGTTATATAGACACATTTGCAAACGGATGAAGAAAATTATGAAAGTCAATCTTGATAATAGAGGGAAAGTGTTTTTGCTGGTTATTTGGTATAATATGACTTGATCAAAATGATTTCTTGTTGAAAGTGGATTTTAAACAAATTTAATTTGAGGGCTATCCAACAGATTTTCCGAAGTCTGTGTGAATGAAGATAAGGCAAAATTAAACTATTAAAAATGAACTCAATGAACTGAACATAACATGATGTGGATGGTAAGTACTGTAATAATACACTATCCACTTGCGCCATCTACTGGATGTGCTTCGTGTTTTGTCACTGGAAAAAAAAGCCCTCATCATAACGTTACATATTTTTGTAAACATTTTATATTTTTACTTATACAAACGAGGTAGCAGGCGGTATTTAAAAGCCTTTAAAAGCTGTCATATTTTGTGTGGCGAACCCGGGTGCTTACGTCATCATCAGCAGGTGAAAGGTCGTGTAGACAAAGATGGCGGCGTCCAGGGGAGCTGTAGTGTTAAAGACGGTTAAGAAAGTTATTGTACAGTTTTGCCCCTTTGAAACTAATGTTCGCTCCACAAGGTAAGTAAGATAGGTAGTGTTAAATGCCTCGATTTCCCTTAATGAGAGTGGTTAAAGTTAAAGAGGTTTAAAAACAGGTCTGTCTATTACAGTACAATCTTGTGTATGAGAATGACTTGTCGTAATAGCTGTCATAGGGACGGAATATAATATGCCAATTATATTTATTTAGATGTCACCGTGCGTTTCTCAGTTTATTGACGTTTGATTTCAGCGTAGTCAGTCAGCTCTCCACCCGACATGTATCTTTAGAGGACCAAAGTGGACTATTATATGCCGGTTAGGCGCGATTATACGCGAATTTATTGTTAAACGTCGTTACATGAACATGCTTATAATACCAAATGCAGATCATGATGCTTGAGTTGTGTTGTATTATCATGTTAATTTTCAAATCTCTCAGTGAAATCTCTGGCGCCCCTCTCAGCCTAAACGCAGTAATTACAGCAGGCTGTCAAACTATTTTGAACTTGAACTATTAGAACTACATCTATGTATTTGCCTACTATTTCTCCTACTATAGATACTGGCACAGTACGTCAAATTTCTTTATGCTTTGTACATTACTTTCCAGCCTTCTCTTTTTCATGGCAGTTACAAATTTCCTTATGTCCATAGAATCAGCAATGGTATTATTCTAAAAATCTGTGAAAAGCTATGCAAAATTACCTACCCAAAAGGAATCTGTTTTTGATGAAAAAATGCCCACTCTGTATAGAAAATTAAGCAAGATGTAAACAACACTGGTCCAGAAACACTTCCTGTTTCAGTTTTTTTTTAACACTACATAAAAGCTGGGATAAAATAAAACCAACATAACATATATAACTGAATCAAAAAGTTAAACAAACATCTTTAAGATGTGTTCTTTAAATGTGAAATAAAGAAAATGAGCTGATGAGTTGAATCAGGTGTGTTTGATTAGGGAGACAAAGAATACGCGCAGTGTTGGTGTGCCGCCAGGAACAGGGTTGGGAAACACTGGTATAGACCTTATTCAGAGCAGCGCCATGACAGGTATGAAAGTGAGGCTGTGAGCGATAGACGTACCGTGTTTCCAATGGCATCCGCTGTAAAAAGCTGAATAAAGCTCCTAGATTACTTACAATTTTCCACAGCTTACATTGTCGGGAGTTTTTTGTCAACTGAAATTTCTTGGAAAGATATTTTTCCAGTGTTTTATAAGCAGAACAATCCGAAAACACAATAAATACCAGTACAGCCCATTGAAGAGATGCAGATCTATCCCTCACAGCCTCGCTTTCATTTCTTTCAAATCAAAGATGGCGCTGCCATGAATAACGCGTATAGATCAGTGTTTCCCAACCCTGTTCCTGGCGGCACACCAGCTCTGCGCGTATTCTTTGTCTCTCTTATCAAACACACCTGATTCAATTCATCAGCTCATAATCAGATGGGTTAATCAGTTGAATCAGGTGTCTTTGATTAGGGAGACAAAGAATACCGCAGTGTTGGTGTGCCGCCAGGAACAGGGTTGGGAAACACTGGTATAGATGACATATTTAGTGTGAACTGTTTACTTCAAGAGCCACTTTAGGTTTACATACCACAGACCTGAAGCATTTGCTACAGAAATGAAATTTGCTTTTAATTATACCTTCATAATTTTCATAAATTCACAAGTCAGTCGCACTGCATAACTGTCAAGTCCCAAAAAACACTTCATTCCATCACATCTCACGCATATCTTGTGTCCCTTTCCTTCCCGCAGAGAGTTTCTCTCCATGGTCGGGTCCGAAAAAGTCAGAGCCACAAATATGAACTGTGAAGTTATCCCAGAAGTAAAGCATGACCAATCAGAGCCTATGATTGACATCACATTCTGTAAGTGACCTCAGAGTTGCTCCAATATTGTAAATATGCATTCAGTTAACATAGTTGTGGTCTTTGGTAGTGGATGGAGAGAGGCTGGTGATGAAGGGATCCAAACTCACCTCTGAAGAAATGCTTTCAGCCTTACAGACCCGCTGCACTGCTAAAGATCCTCAGGCTAAAACAGGAGACAAGAAGTAGTGTATTCAAGATTATGTATTTATATGTGCGTAGATTGGTAATAAAATTGGTATCTGTCATGTATTAGTGAGTTGAGGTCACTTTATCCTGTACACTTTTGAGGACTCAATAGAGTCTAGCACACAACTGTCTCTACTCATCTAATATTCCACTCATTTTGTGGAAATGTGAATCTGATTTGACCAAACAATGTTATTTTAACATCACATCCAGGTAAATAATCCACAACATTTACAGTTGAGGAATTTCTGGTGTGGTATCATATACTGAAACCTTTAAAATCATAAAAGGAGATTTATAGGTTTGTTATTACATACCAGAGAAAGGTATGCCGTGTAAAGTGTATCCTGCACAGTAAATAATATGTCAGTATACCCTTCTGAACATAGCCAAATAGTTGCTGGACTCATAACCATTCATTTGGTAGAGTCTGGTTTTCTCGTTCTATACTTGAATTATTATTTATGCGAAAATAATGTCAGGGACATAATTTGCTTTTGTCTGTGAAATAAGTATTCTTGAATGCTTAGAAAAAATGTTTTTGCCTAGATAAATGTGAAAGTCTATATATTGTCTATATTCATCATTGTAATACCGGTAAGCAGGTTATTACATAGTTGTTAGAGGACAATGGTAACATTTAATTAGTTAATGCACTATTCTTAACTAACAATTAGCAATATGGTTTTACAACATGTATTAACCATGGTTAATTAGGTAATAAAATTGTTCATATTTATGTTAGATTGGGGTGCATTAATCATGAACTCAATACATAAGGCTATCAGTAAATATTGAGATTAACAATAAGATTAAAAAAATGTTATAGAAGTGTTTTTCATTTGTTCATGTAAACTAATGTAGGCCTATGATGTTAACAAATGAGACCTTGTCAGGCACATTGAGGGAACGTCATCTTTTCAGTCAGGGAAGGTTTTGTCTTATAGTTAGTGAAACGCGTCATTGTAAAACTATTCAGACTTTATATGTTAATGATCTTTGTGATTGTTATCCTCTGACCCAGTGAATGTTATTAGACCGTTTTTGTGGTTGCAAAAAATGCGAACCCTTCCCCAGTTCTGAGTTGCGTTTTCGGGTGGGAGGTTGAGGAACTCCGCTCAATGACGCCGGATGATCTGATTGGCTAGTGTGATCTTGCACGTGCTGGAGGAGCTGTTCAAAAACCCCGCAGTCATTCGATCACATCAGAATCCAATCTGAGCTTTGAGCTGTTGTTTGAGTGACAGGGAACATCATCATCCAGAAAAATGGTTGAAAAATTCATGGGAACATGGAAGATGACCACCAGCGACAACTTTGACGAGTACATGAAGGCTATAGGTATTATTCTTCTTATCATTTAATAATTTATCAAGCAATCATTATTATAGTTATTTTGAAAATCTCTCCATTTTGTTACATGCAAAAAGACAAGTTTGAGAAAAAAAATTGCCAGTGCATTTTACGTGCATTATTCATTTTCTGTTGATGGGCAAGGTGTCTCGTGATACGTTTCCTTTTTCAGGTGTCGGATTCGCTACTCGTCAGGTCGGGAACCGGACCAAACCCAACCTGGTGTTGTGTGTGGATGATCAGGGGCTCATATGCATGAAGTCGCAGAGCACCTTCAAAACTACTGAGATCAAATTTAAACTGAACGAGTCATTCGAGGAGACCACCGCAGATGATAGAAAGACTATGGTTTGTCATGGAATAGTCGGAATACTTTCAGTGTCTGCAGCACTATAAAAAAAAATATTGTCGGTTTGACTGGTTGCCCTAAAATTTTGAGTGCATTGTAATTATAATTTTTAGTTAATACGACAAAGAAGATATAGAAACTCACAATATTGTGTTATGTGAAGTTGTGAACCACATTAATTATCTAAGTTGATTCAACAAAAGATAATAAGTTGTACAATTTAACGGGCTCCCCTCTCTCTTTTTCTGCAGACTGTCGTGACTCTTGAGAACGGCAAACTTTTGCAGAAACAGACCTGGGATGGCAAGGAGACGACGATAGAGAGGGAGATTACGGATGGGAAATTAATAACTGTAAGAATGATTTTTTATTTATTATAAACACGTCATAGAAAAGGACATAACATTAACAAATGGTATTAATGCTTAGAAGATAATTGCTAACTCTTATTAAAATGTTGTTAAACTGTGTGTGTGTGCTGTATATATATATATATATATATATATATGAAGCTTAAAGAATGTTATTTGCAATTAGAAAATAATTATGGATTGCACTTTTATTTAAAAAAGGATTTTTAACTTATTACATTTCCATGCATAAATACAGGCTAGTTTCCCAAAGTAAACTGAAACTATCAGGACATTTTAAAATGGACATGCAAGCTGCTGTATTGAATATACCATTTTATAATTTATAGTATTCTAAAATATTTTATTCTGCTAGTTTGCTCTTTGTGAGTGCAATCTTTATAAAATGATTAAAATCCTTATCCAGTAACCACAGACAGCTATTAGTTATTTTAAAAGTTTGGTTATTTTAAATTATCATTCCCTTCTCAGATGTTCAATTTTTATAGATGATAGGGTTGTGGAATATAAATGGAAACAGTCTAGAATAACCTAATGTAGAAATGCTTAACAACTATTGTACAGAACAGTTGCAGATAGACTTTGAGTACATTTTTCCCATTTACTTTCTCAGTTGAGTCTTTAAGGTATGTATAACCATATCTTCTTTTTCCAGAAATGCACTATGGGTGATGTGGTGGCTGTAAGGACATATGTGAAGGAGGCATGAAGTCATCCAATCTGGATTTGAAGATTCCAGGCTCAGTTCAATGAGCAAAAAGCCAAAGTGAAACCTTATTTCTCTACTGAAAATCTCATGTTATTTTTGACACCAAAGCAAATGCGTGCCGACCCTTTTAAAATGCATTTATTATCAGTCTTTATGGTGCTTTGAATAAAGTTGTTTTTATTTGACTTCAGCTGAGTTGTGGTTTGTTGATCCCTGCTGTTTTAACATAGGCTTAGTCAAAATGCACGTGTCAACGTTTTCGAAAAATCTAGGCCAGAGATTTAGCGTTGACTCACAGTAAGGAATAAACTTCTCATTTGGGCATACTTTGAAAGCATAATACAAGGCGTGAGAGGTTTTCTCATGAGAATCAAGGATTATGCAATTATATTGTAAGGTTTGTCTTATATAATTATAAGGATTGTCTCACTAATTATGTGAGTTTTTTTGAACTGTCAAATATTTCACATTCAAGAAATCCCTAAATTGACCACTTTAACTTTAACTGCCCTATTGTTCCATCTTTTGAAACCCTTCCATATAGCTTAACGTCTCAGAAAATGTGTTAAAAGTGTTTATAGTTAATTCTTCATTATTTAAGATCTAAAATTGACCTTAAAAGGATAGTTCACCCAAAAATGAAAATGTTGTCATCGTTTACACACCCTCAAGTTGTTAACCTCTATGAGTTTCTTTCTTTACAAAAGAAAATATTTTAAAGAATGTTTGTGACCAGTCGACGGTAGCCATGGATGTCTTTAGTATAGTTTTTATTAGTCAAACAATTGTCTGGTTACCAATATCCTTCAAAATATCTTCTTTTGCGTTCAACAGAAGAAAGAAACTCACAGGTTTGGAACAACTTGAGGGTGAGTTGATGACAAAATTTTTGGTTTTGGGTGAACTATCCCTTTATGGAGCAACAAAGAATGTATTTTCTCACAGCATTTGAAATGAAATTGAGTAATGCCATTTGAAAACATCCTAAGATTTAGCTTTACACAGATGAGTCTTGCTTCATGACATGATGTTCATGTCATGTTTCTGCCCATGTGTGGAAAATCTGCATATTAATAATGATATTTAACTGTACCATGCTTCTGAATAATAAGGGCTAATGATTTGAAATTTCACCTCTTGAACTATTACAATCTTATTCTCTAGTAAAAAATGTGCACTCATCTATGAGTGTACATAATGGACATTATTTCCACATATCAAATCTTTGTGATCTCTGACTGAGATTTTCTTTACTAAAAATGAAAGTTACCGTCCTGATGGACTGATTTGATTTATCTTCATTAAACTATCCACAATGTTCTTATGTAGATCCGGATGGTTCTTGCGTTCCCATGTCTTTTTTGCCCCTTCACCTCATTTGGATAAAGACAACAAGAGAGTAACTGTAACAGTGGACTGTGTCCAAGGGTACAGAGGATATGTATTTCTTTCCTCCTTTTAGTTGAACATTTCCCCTTTCGAACATAGTTTTAGCATGCGTAACTAAACTGGAACACAGTGAGTCCCCAGAGTCTTTCCTTTTGACCCACACAAAGAGCAGAGAATGTTCCACCAGTTGCTACTTTCCCAGGACAGGAAAGTGTAGAGATCCACTGATTGAAATTGACTGCAAAAACAGCTGAAACAGGTGGTTATGAGCCAGCTCTCTATGTACAGCCTATTCAATAAAAACAATGCATTTTCCTATTACCCAACCTGTACAAAGTTTAAAAGGTGGAAGGTATTGGAAATCTGTTTTGTATGTATGAAGATTTAAAAAAAAAAAAAAATTCAGACATATTAGCACTCTCTAATTCTAACATAGTTATTTCTATCTGATGCACCTCTCGTCGCCATGCTGAGATCAGAAGAGCAAAACATATGGAATGATTTACTTCATAAAAAGATGTTTGTTGTCATAAAGGAGCCAAGACTCAGAGAAGTTACAAGCAATAGGTTTCTTGTTTGCTGTTCTAGATTTAAGGGAAAGTGCTGTTGCCCCAGTTGTATGTTACAGTTATAATAGCCTATTAGCAGGGACCTGCACAGACATTTTGAAGTGAAAAAAAGGGCACTTCTCAAAATTATGTTTTTTTTTCTTTTTACTTCTTTTTTTTTTTAAGTATATATATAAACACAACTCTGTGTTTTTCATTATCACTCATGCCACCGGTCTTGCACCGTCCTCTTACGCCCCTCGCCCTCGATCGTCCTCCTCGCCACACAGCCAACTAACTAGAAATTTTGTATGAAATGAATTTCAAACTCTGTTGACAGCTAGCATTAGCCTTATAGACGGAAGAGTGATTTCTCTGGTTGCGCTGTTCCGGATTAGTGGGTGTGGCTTGCGGAGCTGTGCAATGTGGTGCATTGTGGGAATTGTTGTCTTACGTACTAATGCGCCCCTCGGTTATCCTCGGTCTTTTCTCGGTCAAGAGGGCACCAAATTCAAAAATTCTTTTACATTTCGACTACATGTATGATCCACTTTCAATAAAGATTAATGTGAAATTCTCCTTTAAAATGACGTTGGAAAACTTCAGTGTTAAAATTACAATAATGTTTTTACAATGTTCATCCGATTGTTTTGTACATCATAAAGTTGCATGTGTTTTGTCGGTAATGTAGCAATGACTGAAGACCAAGTCAGGAGTCCCTTTCAAGAAGCTTTCTAATTTTCAGTGTGGCGAATTCGCTTGATCAACTTGAACATGAACGGAATCAGTGTGTGGGAAACTTTTTTCTCAATTATTCAAATCTCCCGAAATGGTGGATTATTAGAACCACTGGATTTCACCCGCAAAATTTTTCCGAGAAACGGTAAATGTGACTCGCACCTTAAAGTCAACATGAAATCAAAATAGACTATTCTTATTTTTGTAAATGGAATATCACAGGGACATCTCTTTGCTGATGGTGACGTGTTTATTGGCGCAAGGGTGGAACAACCTGTCACGTCCACACTACTGCGTTTTCGTTTAAAAACTGAGTCCTTTTGTTACGTTTGCACCTCCCGTCCAGACTAAAACGGAAACAACGAAGACCTAAAACGGAGAAGTTTAGAAACGCTGCAGCTCTGTTTTGCGTTTTGAATCTCCGGAGGGCATTTTAGTCTAGACGGGACAAAACGGAGGAGTTTACAAACGATGACGCAGAGGCTCACGCTCGGCTCTATGATTGGGTGTCATCAGTCATGACGTGTTCTTCCCTGATTCGTCAGCCAACGTTTACACCGGCACACGCATGCCCAGTGTTGGTGAATGGTCACGTGATCCGCGTTTTCAGTTGTTTTAATGTGGACGGAGATCAATTCTAATACGCAGATAAAACGCTGGTGTGGACGGAGATCGTATTCGTTTTAATTCTCCGTTTTTAAACGAAAACGCAGTAGTGTGGACGGGGCCTCAGACATCACAACAACAGCAAACCACATCAATCTAACGATCCAACAAATTCCCAATGGACAAAAACAATCCCTTCCCTACAAACTCTGGCTTGAGAAGCCATTTGACTCTGATACTTGTCAATGTGGAAGAAAATACTATTGCAATGAGGAGTTGACGTCATTGTACAGAGCCCCTCCCCTTTTCGCCATGTTGGTTGGATTCCCACGCCAAAACAGTATTGTTTACGTGTGTTTTTAGCTTGGTAGTAGAGGAGGTTCTCGCAATTCCGCACTGTTTTACCATTCCTGGAAGTCACTGCTGCGTTAAAAAACTACCCCAGTACCTCACACGATGTATATGGAAAACATAGGAACAATGGAATACAGTTTTTTAGTTTACCGAAATGGACAGAGCATCAGGGAGAGTCTCTGACCTAATGAGGAGACGCTGGATTGCTTGGTTTGCTTTTTTTTTTTTTTTTTTGCTTGGTATTGCTTCGATTGCTTTAACCTTTAGTATACGATTTTCACTGTTTGCTGTGCCTTAACGAACATATGCAAAAGTGTTGTTTGAGTGCCTGTTCATTACTTTTTTATTTCATTGAAATAAATGTTTGAAACAACTTGATATGGCTTAACAATATTTATTGAGAACTGAAAAATATAGGCTACATATATATTTAGACAACATAAGTTTCATGGACAACATAAGTAATAATAATAAAATAATAATACTGTTATTAGTGCAAAAGAACTAATATATTGATGCTGCTTCTCCAAATACAGCTGTTTCTTAGATCCGTCTCTGTCCTGACAAAATAATAAATGCGCGAAAATTTAAGAGCTCTGGAATTTTTAAGAGCTCTAAAGGCGTTGTTAAGGAATTTTAATCTCACATGTATTAATATGAT